GCTCCCAGAGCCTGACACAGTGCTCATCACATAGTCCTTCATAAGTATCCTTCTAATGAATGAGTGAGTTAATGGCTTAGGAATGAATTAACCTTAAATAATCTCCCAACTGGTCTCCATGCCTCCAGACATCTCCCTTTCCTGCTGCTTTGACACTGTCACTCAACAGCTGGGCCTCCAGCCCCGCCGCCCACCATCCATATTTACCGCGTGCGCATGCCCACGGTACCCCGGATCAGGGCTGCTACACTGCACAACTTCAGGAGGCACTGTTCACAGTTTTGTATTGTTTGTGCTCCAAGGGCTCCCATTCCAAAGAAAACGTATCATCAATGCTGCCCTTTGGGACTGTGCTTGATGTGCCTGCCCAGAGAAGTACCTTCGGCTGTACCCATTCCTCTGCGCAATTCCAGGGCGGCAACTTCACATTTGTTTCTGTGGAAGCGGCATCCCTGGGGCACGACCTCCTTGAAAATTCTAATTGCACTGTTTCTCTATTTTATGTTGCTGTGTCGGCCTCTCCTCGGGTTCCATTCTTCCCCCAGGCTTCATTCAGATCCATTACTTTAACCATCTTTTCTTCAAGACCTCAACTCCTTTGACCTTCCAACAGACCCCTACCATGAATCAATTTCTTTGACTATGTTATTTGCTAAACAGTCCTTAATAGTCTCTAAATTCACTGTCTTAAATGAAGGTGTTCCTCTGGGTTCCATTTTTAGCTCTTTTTGCCCACTTTCTTCACAAACCTTCGTTCGGTGAATTCGTCTGTAGTCCTCCCACTGCCACGTACGTCCTGGTCACCCAGAGCCCCCTGAATCGACTCTCTGGCTCCCATCCTTCTGACATTCCAGGTTGCATATCCAATCACCTACACTTGAATTAGCCACACATCCATCATTGAAAACATGTCCATAATGATACTTTCAATCCTCCTCCCTTCTACTCAGAATCTCTCGTTTTCCTGTGTTTTGTAATATCGCCCAAAGCTAGAATCATAAATATCATCCCTGCTTTCTCTTTACTGCTCACACCTACCTGATTACCAGACCCTATACCTTCTATCCCCCAAATAATTTTGAAATCTCTGCTTTCATCTCACTGTAATAAGATAATATTACAGTGTAATATGTATCCCACTGTAATAAGATAATAGACCCCTATTCTAGGCAATAATTTCTCCCCAAAAAGCCATCATCCTCACTGTGGACAAGATCATTCATTGCCCCCTACTTAAAACCCTTCAATGGCTCCCTAAGGTTTTCAGAATAAAGTCCTACTTCAAACGGCATCTAAGGCCATTCATATTTAAAGCACTTCTCCCATAACAAATCATGATAAAGTGCGGCACTACAACCTTTCTAGGGCCCAGGCTGCGACTGGTCTCCAGTTGCCCATCGCCAGACAAGATAAAGAGCTTCCCAGCCCTAGCTTGTCACGGAAAGGCGTGATCTTTAGAGGAGACCAAATGCTCTCTCACCAGATAACCAGCAGAAGAAAACTACATCTCTCCATATTCTCAGGTTCCTTCATAATGCAGGGGCCAAATAAGAAGTTCTAGAAACAGTCTTTCAAGGCCTCTTGGCACTTGAGCTTCCCAATCAAAGGCAGTTTCCCTAATGTGATGCAAGGTCAGTCTCCTAGTGAGCATCTGCATTGGCATGGATGCCTCCAGACTAAGGAAACGATATTGGCTAAGGGCTGATGCCTGGCCATTCGTTCGCTGTGGCCAGCTGTAGCGCCACCACACGGCCATGCCGGTGGGGGCAGTGGTGGTGTTCGTCTCACAGATTCCAAACACTGTGGTACATCCACAAAACTTAGAGAACTAGACAAAAAACCCAGGCCTTTCCCACTCAAGGAATGTAAGCAGTAGCAAACTGAACTATGTTTGCACATATGCAGGATGCGGTATTCCCTGCTTGCTTAGGAATGTACCTTCTGAATGCTGTGATCACATCTTCTTTTTATTACACCCGCCTCAGATATATATACTTCTTGTATTATCTCAAATACCTAAATAATCTTTATTTTCTAAATGAAAACCTTGGTCCTTCAGAAGAGAGCATATGGCTTCATAGAAAAAGATAATCGTATCAGTTCTCAGTGGTGGACAGGGACCCACTCTCCATTAGAGATTTAAAAATAATGAAACAAACACTTTTATAGAAAGTTGTATGCCTCTGTGGAAAAATGATTGAGGTCATTCTATTTTCTTTGAGGAATGCACATCAACTCTAATCATGTGTGACATTTCTGAGACCTTTCAGGGTTGTTCCAATTAACCATCTCCTCTTCAAATATTTCAGATGGAATAGCCATACTAACATGTTTTCTTTCAGCATGCTCATTAAAAGCTATTTATCTTTCATTGTAAACATAACAGTTCCATTAAAACTAGTGTTCATAGGAAATAAAATATATTTTCACATAACAGAAATAAGACCACATATGATTAGAGCTATATGTTTCTAACTAAGCAATATATCACATTCATTTTTAAAATGTAATAGAACCATATTAATTGTTATAAGATTATTTATTTAAAAATATGTAAGATTGGAGTTTACTATTTGTCAAAATCTTTTTATTCAAGGACAGCATGTGTTTTAGTGCTTTGAACTGGAAATTTGATGCTATGTATTAGTTTGTATTTTTTATATTCTGTACTAGTCACATTTTTTAATAGGGCAGATTCCAAGTTATCAAAATTATTTAGCATTTTCATCCATTGAAACAGAAAACCAGAAATAACCTTGTTGCTTCTGAACACTTAGGAAGTGTTTCAAAGCTGGAGTATCTGGAATGACTTAGGTTAGACGGTAAGGAATAGATACTGAACATTCATTCACCTGGCCTGGCTCATCCAGGTAAAGACGCCAGACTAGAATACATTTAGTTGGTGTTTATTTCATTGGGCCTTTGACTCAGTTATTCCAAAATGAGGATGCTCTAATCATCTTTTTCCCAGTGCTATAAAAATTCTAGTAGCATTTCATCTGTAAAGACCTGATGATCTATCTATAGATAAATTATAAGCGATCTTTCCCTTCTTTTCTTCACATTTTCTGTTGAATTTGTGACCTGATCTTGTGACTTCCCTAAACTGCAACTTAAATTAGAAAACACACATCTGCTCAAACTGACAGCACCACTTGCACTGGCTCAGCTGTCTGCAGCAGCTGCAGCTGCAGAGGGTTCACATGAACTTGTTCATGGCGTTCCCTCACATGAGCTTCCTACAGATGTGGTCACCAGAAAGAATATGCTACTCCCCAGGCTAGGCAGAAGCCAACAAAGAAAATAGTTTACTACTTTTCAGCGTTTGAAAGCATGAAAACACAATGATACAGCTCACACTTTTGGTTGAGAATCGTGAAGGTCAGTCCTCAGGAGACACACAAACCTGTTTTTCCTATTAAATAAACCAATCAATGTAGACATTTAAGTTTATTTCAAAGAATGGTGTTATGGCCTGAGTTGTATTCTCCACAAATCCATACACTGAAGCCTTAACGTTCAACGTGATTGTGTTTGGAGATAAGGCCTTGGAACAGAAGGTTAAGGTTAAATGAGGTCAGAAGGGTGCAGCTCTGGTCCAAGAGCATGGTGTCCTTGGAAGAAGAGGAAAGCCACCAGAGCTCTCTCTGTCCATGTGTGCGCACACAGGAAAGGCCATGTGAGGACACAGAAAGAAGGCAACATCTGCAAGCCGAGGAGAGACCTCCCAGACCCCAATCGCTGCCGGCCCCCCAGCTTCCTGAATTGGGAGAAAACACATTTCTGTTGTTTGAGCTGTGCAGTCTGTGGTTGTCTTGCGATGGCAGCCCGAGCACTTGTACAGAGAGTTATCTCCTTACTCCAGAAAAGTGCACTAATGCTTTGCACCAACGAGTCCCATCCCCAGAAGCACTGGTTTCTAACATATAGCTTTTAAAACTTTAATAAAATATTCTTTAATATTTAATTAAATATACCAATGTAATAAAGATAAAGTTTCCCCCTGTTCTATGTGCCTTAGTGGCTTTCTAACTGTGATCCATCTGCAATATTTAGTATGTACATATGCATGCATGTATATAATGTATAGTATGTTTAGAATATGTATGCAACATATATATATTTCACAAAATAACGCTTTTCTTAACTATAAGACATATATTCCGCTCAGTTGTTTTATTTTTTTTAAAATGTATGTGTGTGTTTTTTGGAAACTATTTCAAAGAAAGCCAGTTTATGGCTAGATGTTTGAGAAGTTCTCCTTTTAGCTACGTCATTGAAAATAGTTCCTATTTACAATCTCTGTTTTCCCTTAGCATCTCAAGATCCCTAAAAGTACATTGAAAATACATTGTAGTGAACATAACCACAATTTTTCTCTCTCTGTCTCAAACTGCACAATTTCAAAATTGAATTTAAAGTTTCCAAAATGTCATGAGCCAAAATTTTGATGTTCGTTTCCATATATATAGTTGTTCAAAATAGGTAAAAGGATCTCTTTTTGAGCAGCTGAGATTTGTATATAAAGAAATTGGCCAACGTGCACAGCTTTGGGGCACATACGTGTGTATGCACATCGAGACTAGCACCTATTTATAAAGACATAACAAAAAAGGAAATAAATTGACTAAAGTAGGAGAAAATTAATATTATTTAATACATTCACTTTTTCCTACTACGAATATGTTGACACGAATATTTCCTACTGTACTTTCCTTTATAGAATAAAATTACTTTGTTTTTTTAAGGAAAAAAAGCAAAAAAGATATAATAAAAAAATTTAACTACACCTCTTTTATTACAAATTACCCTAAGCACCTAGATAGCATCTGGAACATAGACGCGTTTAATATTTGTAAGTGAATGAATGATAACTTCTAGGATAGCAACAAATGTACACAAAACATAAATATTTTTTAAATAAATATAAAAAAGAGGGTTTTTAATTTTTATTAAATTAGTGAAATAGAAGTGTTTTGTGCAAGCTTCTGAACCCTCACCTCTTCCTTCGTCTTTTTCGATATCACTCGGAGCCAGTCCCCAATCATGCTCAGGACAGCGGCGAAGTACGCGAGCCCTACGAGGATCCAAAACCACACCACAGGCTTGTAGAGGTCTAGATATTCGATGTCCGATCCACCTGTGAGAAAGGAAACAGTGCGGAATGAAATAGCCTCCGATTCGTAAATGTTAACAGCAGAGACGTTTGCTAAAATCACTTGCTGAATTTTGGCTGGTAAAACGGCGATCATCCTGTCCATGAGCTCACGTTCCTTTCTTCCTACGGAATCCCTCCTTCGCCCTCATATAGTCCTTATTCATTTTTCATGAGCCAGCGAAATAAGTTTTTTTTAATAAGACATTTCATGAATTCTCCAGGTCATCATGATTTTTTCTTGCTCCATGTTTCTTCTTTATTTCCTACAATGTGTCTTATCATTAAGTCTAGCACTTTACTCCAAGTTCTCTTTCCATCTCTAGTGTGACAAGTAGAAGACAGAGATGACACATTTTTTAAAAATATTTTACTTATTTATTTATTTATTTATCTTTAGAGGGGAAGGGAAGGAGAGAGGGAGAGAAACACCAATGTGTGGTTGCCTTTCGTGTGTCCCCTGCTGGGAACTGGCCTGCAGGGAACCGGCTTGCAACCCAGGCATGTGCCCTGACTGGGAATCGAACTGTGATTGTCTGGTTCGCAAGCCCGCGCTCAATCCACTGAGCTACACCAGCCGGGGGACACATTTTTTTGAGTATACATTTAGTTGAGTAAATTTTACCTTACTGCCAACCAAGTCACACTGACCAATCAGGACACGCTAACCAATCAATTCAATGCCACCCTGAACAGAGAGTGGCTCTTATTTCAAAATCGTCAATACAACAAATTGAAAACAAACGCCAGACACAATGGCACAGTGGGTCTCATTTAAACAGTAATTTGCAGGGGATACTGCTACTCACTATTCTCTGACTTTTCAGAGAAATTCCCTTGTTTGCCATGAATTTAAACCCCTAGCTCTCAAGGAAAATGTTGGCAAAGGAACTGTTTTTGCTTTACTCTGATCTTTACTTCTCCATAGGTATAGTAACTGCACCCATGAGAATGTGAACACATCCCCACACATCTCTACATCAGCACATACTGATAGGCCAATTATTAAATCCCCAACACCGAACAGGGACTGTTTTTTACAAGGGATGGAAACAAGTCTTTCTCTTGAGAAACTCATAATTGAGCCCGAGAAAGCCTCACATAGACAATTAACCATCATGGAGTATACCCAGGGACAGTGAGAGAGAATGAAATTGTACTAGGAGAGGATGCAGGTGAAAGAATTTTTACAATACTTCCAGAAGGGGAAGGATGTGAAGACAGAAAAATGAGCCTTAAGTGATGAGGATCAAAAGAGAAAAAGTTTAAATGGAAATGTGTGGTATAGTCAAAGGGTTTTAATAGTAGCTAAAGCTATATATGGATGACTGCCAGAGGGCAGAGGGGTATAAGAGAAGAACAGAAAAAGTGAGTTGTGCCAGGTTGTAAGGAGAGGCTCCTGCAGCGATGGGGAGTAGGTAAAAGTGGATAAACAGGTAGGTCTTATACTCGTTTGACTATACGCACAGAAAGATCTAGTGGCAGAAAGGAAGGACCAACAGAGAAGCCCATTAGAAACGTTTGTTCTGAACCAGCAAAAAAATTATTGTGCCTGAGTTAGGGCTGGAATGAAAAAAAAGAAGCCTTTTAGGGGCAGAATCATCAGGTTTAATGACTGGTGAGTCAGTGTGGTAACTGAAAGGAAGGCTCTAGAATGACCAAAGGCCCTCACTTGGGAGATGGTACCAGCAACTGAACAGGAAACACAAGGGAAGGAAGAGTGGCCAGAAAAGACTAAGGTAATTTAAACCAGGATATGATAGGTTTGTCCTGCTAGAAGCACACACAGGCGCAGATACCCAGGGAGATCCTTAAATACCCATCTAACGTTAGCAGGGCAGAGCAGACAATAAAGATTTCAGGATCGATAGCACCGAGACTGGGATGTTTTCACAGGAGCCAAGGGTGTACTCAACTGTCAAAAAATCAAGCCATACGACCAGGACAACAGCTAGTAAGTAGTCACTATGCGTTAAAAATCAAATATAAAAGTTTGACTGTACCATTACTCTATATAAATTAGACTGTGAGTTGCCTGCCATGACATTTTCAAGTCCTAAAGGGGCAGAGTGAAAAGAGACCATTTTTCTATCAGGCAAATAATGTTAACTTCAGCTTTCATTTGAAAGAAGTCGTTTTAAGAACACAGTTTCAAAGTAAATGATATCGCCTTCAAAATATTGTGAAAGATTTCACCATGTGCAGTGTTTTAAAAATATATATCATTTTGGGGGAAGATTATGGAGGCTAAATGCATCTCATGATGGTTAAGACTCGGCCCATGGGGGCTGCGGCTCCACATATTCACAGAAGGGACTACAGACATGTGTGCGGAAACTTGTTATATGACAGCCTCACTAGTGAAACCTGTTTTTCAAATATTTCCATTTTCATAAGACCAAACTGACATTTGTTCCAAGTGCTTTCTCTTTCTAAAGCAGAAAAATCATCTTTCAAAGACCTGTGACTCATTTAACCTGAAATTCACCAAGATGTGGATTGTAGAAGTTCGTTCACACTCAAGATGACTTTCTATGTCTTCTCTCTTATAAAGGAGATGTCACAGTTTGGAAAGAGTAAACTAGCTCAATCACTAAAAGGTTTGTACTGGGGTAAAATGTCTACCCCACAAGTTTCAGTGGGTTCTAAGTCACAGTTAGGGGACAATGTTTTCCCATTCTTAACTGCCACTCTTATGAAATACCAGCAGTCAAAAGATCGAGGGAAAACCAATGTATCTGTGAATGTGGCCAAACAACTCACAAATCCTCTTCACTTTTTTAAAAAGATTTTTTAAATTTCTTTTTCGAGAGGGGAAGGGAGGGAGAAAAAGAGGGAGAGAAACATCAATGTGTGGTTGCCTCTCCAGTGCCCCGCATTATGGACCTGGCCCACAATCCAGGCATGTGCCCTGACCAGGAATCAAACCAGTGACCCCTCGGTTCTCAGGCTGGTGTTCAACCCCCTGAGCCACACCAGCTAGAGCCCTCTTCACTTTTTGATAGCTAAGATTTATGAATAATTTCCACCATATTTAATTCACATGATCCAAGAATCTAAGCAAAATTAAATAATCCGTAATGTTAAAATAACTTGCTAAAACAGCTATTGGTTTTATTTTTTTTTAAGTTTTTATTCATTTATCTTTAGAGGGGAAGGGAAGGAGAGAGAGAGAAACATCAATGTACGGTTGATGTGCGTCCCCCACTGGGAACTGGCCCGCAATCCAGGCACGTGCCCCGACCGGGAATTGAACTGTGATCCTTTGGTTCGCAGGCCCATGCTAAATCCACTGAGCCACACCAGCCAGTGTGGTTTTATTTTTAAATTAGAAAACATTGAAACATTGTCTTGGCTGTTATAAGCATTAATTTAATCTGGCTACATGCAGGAAACCTGTCCATGGGTCTGTTGCTTATTAAGAACACAGGGTAGTTTTTCTGCTCTGGCTTCACTCCCCATATGCCACCCCCACCCCCAGGTCTCCTCTGCCACTCCGTCATTTCTCTTCTCCTTCCACAGACTCCTGAGACACAGACTGCAGGATGCCACAGCCCACTGTCCACGCTTGGATTCCTCACCCACTTGGCAGGAATGGTGACCACATTGCTGTTCTCTTTGTTGCCACTACAAATATGCACACAGATCCTTTCCATTTTAAGAGCTTTCTGACTGATCATGATAGGAAAGCAATAAAAATAGCAAAAAGGGGTGGAAAGACAAAGGTTTCAGGAATCTTATAAACTTTTCCAGGTAGTTAAAATAAGTCTCTTCCTGACTCTCAAATGATATGTGACAGTCTCTTTTAAATAGTGCCATTTCTCATCCCTTTAGGTAACTCTCTCCTTTCCACTTGATGCTTTTAAGATTCTCTCCTTATCTTTAATAAGACAATCAGCTGATTTCTCAAAAGAAACTTTATAGGCCAGAAGGGGATGGAAAGAAGTATTCAAAGTCATAAAAGGCAAGGACCTACATCCAAGATGACTCTACCCAGCAAAGCTACCATTTAGAATGAAAGTGCAGATAAAGTGCTTCCCAGGTAAGGTCAAGTTAAAGGAGTCCATCATCATCAAGCCCTAATTATATGAAATATTAAAGGGACTTATCTAAGAAATAGAAGATCAAAAACTATGAACAGCAAAATGACAACAAACTTATAACTATCAACAACTGAACCTAAAAAAAAACAAAAATAAGCAAACAACTAGATCAGGAACAGAATCACAGAAATGGAGATCACATGGAGGGTTATCAGTGGGGAGGGGGAGAATGGAGGGAAAGGCACAGGGAATAAGAAGCATTAATAGGTAGGCACAAAATAGACAGGGGGAGGTTAAGAATAGTATGGGAAATGGAGAAGCCAAAGAACTTATAGGTACAACCCCGTGGACATAAACTAAGGGTGGGGAGGAATGCTGGATGGTGGGGGGTGAAGGGCAAAGGGGGATAAAAAGGAGAAAAACACTGGGACAGCTGTAATAGCATAATCAATAAAATATACTTTAAAACTAACTAACTAAATAAATAGTGCCATTTCTCTTTGGACTTCTTCCTGGTACTTAAGGAAATCAGCCAGAGTCTAATCTAATCTAGTAGATCAAACTATAGGTACTAAAACATGTAGCCCAGGAAAGGTTCAGGCTGGCAAGGTTGCCTGGGAACGCTTTCTCTCCCCACATGGGTTCCCTAAACTTTTGAGGGAAGCTGTATTCCCACTCCTGTCATTTCCACTTGGGGCAGGATGATTAGCAAGACCATTGCCCATAGATGTAAGTCATACCTCTCTAGCTGTCTTTATCAGGCTTTTTAGACACCCAGGCCTGCCTGACTCCACGTGACAGGCTTTTTTCATTGGGCAGGTGGTCCACATCACCTACGATCCCATCATTTATCCACTGGCCTTGTTCGCTCACACTGAACGGTAGACACCCAACTAGTGCTGGAAACATAAAATCAAAGAAGACGCACCTCTTCTTTTCCAG